GTGCTGTGATCCACAGCGGTAGATGGATCCCGAGTTTTGACGTTTTAAAATATCAAATTTAACAATTATCCACAGACGGCAGTAGCTTTAAAACGGTCGTTAAGACATCGTAACTTAATAGAAGTTTCGTCTCTGTACTGTTTTATATCCTAACACTACATTCAAATCGGTTATAATACGGAAACGCGACGGGCTGTAACACTTAGGGACTAAATTTGAACTTCAGTAATTAAAAATTATTCTTAAAAAATATTTGTAATGGATTCCTCAGTTCGGAAAACATGCAATAAAACTATATCTAATATTATGATACTCGCTGCTGTCTCGTGTAAAATAACGTGGTGATACGTTTACATGACATGTTGATCACCTGCTTTTATAAACTCGAAAATTGTTTCGTAACGCAAATCGTTTGTCAGACGGTGAAAGTTATTAAAAACGACCCCTTACGTTAATATTAGTAGTTTGGTCTTCATTTCAAAATCGATTTAGTGAGTGAGAAGGAAGACGTTACTTAGCATCGCAGTTCAAATTCTACTATCTTTTATATTTGGTTAAACTATCTTAATCTCTATGTAACTTCAGCCAATTATGGTCAATATTTGTAAGTGATGAACATAACTTCAAGCTAGAAAAGATGAAAGGTTCATTAGACCAGTTTAAACTATATATTTCACATACATTATTGACCTCGTATCTGTGTATATTTGGGCATTAGAAACTTACTTTTAAAATAACAAAACGTTATCAATTGTAAAATGTTTAAACGTTACATCTTCATCTATTCTCTCGCCTTAGCGAATTTCTTACGAAATCAGTATTCATTTAATAATTAATTGTACGTCTTAAAAGGGTAAGCGCAAGGCTATGAAAAATATTGTTAACCTGAGGCATTTTTGAAAATGTTTCGAAATTTGTTTTTTTAGATCAACTGCCAACATTTGCAGTAAGTTGACGCTTGTGACTTGTTTATTTTTGTTGAATTTCGCCCAAAGCTGCCCGAGAGCTATTCTCTAGCGTCCCTAATTTAGAAATAATGCTAGACGTAAGGCAGGTAGTCAAAACCACCCACCGTAATTCTTAGGCTATTCTTTAACAATGAAAAGTGGGATTAACCGTCACATTATAAGGCCCTCACGGCTGAAAGAGCGAGTCGAGAGCTCTAACCACCAGACCATGTCAGGTCCCGCTCGTGCCTTAACAACACATTTATAATGTTCACATCAAATATAGCTATTGTTAAGTAGAATATAAAATTACGCTCGAGTTTTTCTCATATGAATTTTTATTTTCATCAGCCATTCACTAAAATCAAAATCATTTGAAGTTTTAATAACAAGTAATATTGAATTGCCGTTACATCAACATCTACCTTGCGAAACTTATCGACAATGAGTACATCCACATATGTCGATTGATAGCGTTTTTATACCCCCCCCCCCAAATGTTCTACTGATATTCTTCTCTCGCGGGTTTAATCAAGACAGATTTTACTGATGTTAAGAATACCAATTCAAGTTAGTCCAAACTTTTTCGATAATTATTAGGCGAATTTTTATTCAAGGTGAAGATGTTGTCACTAATGTAAAATCTATTAACAAAACCAAACAAAACGGACAGTAGTGCCTATGTCCGTAACAGTTACAATATCATGAGGTATAATATCTCATATTTATTTAATCGTACATAAAAATTTGCAGTGAAACTACAATGTGGCCTAAAATTGTATACAGGTTTTAAATTTCATCTCTTTCAGGTTGCTATACAAATATTTGTGCACAGTACATAAACATGACATACACACTTATCGCATACACAGAGGAGATTTCAGTGTAACATAGATGACTTTTGAACTACCCTATATTTAACTGGCAATAAATTTGTTTGTTTCGGATTCTCGAGCATATCTACACAAGGCTATACGCTAGTCGTTCATAATTTTGAACTGACAGACTAGAAAGAAAACAGCGAGAAACACCAGCTTTGCCAACTTTTGGACTACTCTAATGGAATATTAAGATTTAACCGTCACGTTTGTAACACATCCACAGCTCTCACAATGAGGGGGTAGGTGATATTTCGGCAATGGGACGCCAACCAGGGACCTAAGAATTCATTGGTTGAAACGTTAACCACTAAGCAACACTAAGCCCAAATTTAGATTTTCATTTGAATCATTTACGTAACAAATATACACGTTGATTTGTAAATGTTTAAAAATAATCAATAATCAAAATACAAATTATGTCAAGTCGGTCTTAACAACAGCAGAAAGAAATGTTGCAAATCGTAAAAAAAACGGACATCTCTAAATAGGGTTTCATACTTGTATCCATAACAAAAACAAACTTCAGCTAAGTTTAATAATAATAAAAAAACAACAACAAACTTACTACATCATACAGTGTTTATACGGTGCTTACAAATAAGTTCGGCCCGGCATGGCCAAGTGGTTAGGGCGCTCGACTCGCAATCTGAGGGTCGTGGGTTCGAATCCCCGTCCCGCTAAACATGCTCGCCCTTTCAGCCGTGGGGGCGTTATAATGTGACGGTCAATCCCACTATTCGGTGGTAAAAGAGTAGCCCAAGAGTTGGCGGTGGGTGGTGATGACTAGCTGCCTTCCCTCTAGTCTTACACTGCTAAATTAGGGACGGCTAGCGCAGATAGCCCTCGTGTAGCTTTGCGCGAAATTCAAAACAAACAAACAACAAATAAGTTCTGAAACCTCGCTCGTTACAAATTTCCTTAACGGAAGTAATACATATTCAATGAAATTTTCGTACTCCCAAGTATCATTAACCAATTATCTTTATTACTTTTTATAAATTGCACAGGACGTTGAAACAACTGACGATTAAAAAACAGTAAGTATTCTAAATATTTCACGACTCTTATCAATTCTCAACGAAAGGAGTCCTCACTGAATGATCCTCAATAAAATAAGTTATGTATGCGTACCAAACTCAAATAACGCTTGTGACTGATATTAACTCTAATAACTCAGCGCCCTCTATTTCACTACGATCGATTGCCAAGGTTTTAAATATGCCTAATGAAATAAAACGCGTCGACTGCCCTCTGTAACAGGTGACCAATGAAAACCATAGATTTTGTGCAATTATAATATCCGGTATTATTGTTTACAAAAATGGATGTTATTGAAACTATTTAGTTCATACAAAGAAAATACAGGTTTATTTTCAAAGATAAACAGATAATTGCTATCAAATCTATAAAGATACTTTCATAGTCTTAACAACACGATATGAAAATATGAGAATTTCCGCGACTTCGCCTACAATCCATTGCGCCTATTTATGCCAGTTTGATGTGTTTTCGCACTGGATGCACATTCAGGCATTAATGTGGCGATCCGAGATAGGCGGAATATAAAGACTGAATTAATCAGTGAAATCAGTGGCGCCATTAATTTAAGTGTACTGAATCACAGAAAAGACAACACAAGTTATATGAATAACAATATTGTATCAGTGAATATAATGAATCAAAGTAATCAACTCTTATTTCATAAACATCAGAAATAAAGGTTGAAAACAATGTAAGAATTTTTCACGAGAAACGAAATAATGGAACATGTTGAAAACTTAAAATTCAATGTCAATTCTGTTTGACATTTAAGGAATTTTAAAGCAATCTTTCATTAAATACGTTTGTTTATAATTTAACAATATGCGGTTATAAAATCAGTAAATTCGACATTATTGAAAAGTATGATAATTATTATCGTAATATAAATTCTCTACATACACTTTTAACGACACACCATAATTTTTGTCCTTAAAAAACTGTTTTTGAAGCTAAATAATAACAAAATAAATACTCTGAAAAAAAAACGTGTATGTGTAACATATATGTAAAACAAGTTGCTTCTGGCAGTTTACTAGTGCCATCTGTTGGTCATTAAGACATCACTTTCAATGAAGCATAAAACAATATAAGTGTCAAGTTTTGGCTTTAATAGCCCTCTCCCCCCTTGCCTGTTTATGGAAGGGAATGAAGTTTCGACTTCAATACCTGAGGCCTTCTCACATCGAAGTGAAATTTGTATCATCTCTACACTGACTAAAATGCTCATGAAACAATATGAAAGTGTATACCATAATACGCTGTCTTAATCGTCTTCCCAACTGCCTTTCCTTTATGTTTTAACTAATAATATTTTGGACATTTACTACAAGAGAAAGTAGACAATTGGTTAAAATTCATTGGCGCTTGTGTAAATGCTCAAAGTTAAAAATTCAATTTACAATGAACAACTGTTTATTGTACAAAATTCTAAAAATGAGACTGTTTCCACTCTAAAATATTAAACGACTTACTGCGCAGGATAAAAGAGAAAAAAAACACACAGATGAAACCGGAAACAGTCTTATAGTCAACTGAATACGACGCATTAAACACGTCGAAACATAACATGACGAGCGTACGAGTCAGTTTCCAGTCTTATCGGGATTTTTCTTTTGCCTTTATTTAGTATTTTATTGAATTTTTTGGGACTGGAAACAGTCTCATTTTTAAAACTGTGTATAATAAATCGTTGTTCATTGTAAATTGAATTTTAAACTTTAAACTTTGTTCATTGTAAATAGAATTTTTAACTTTAAACTTTGTTCATTCTAAATAGAATTTTTAACTTTAAACAGTTGGTTATATCAATTCTAGTGACGACAAAATAACTATCTGGTGCCCTCTATATAGATAATTATCATGAAATTGTATTTTTTAAATTTTTTATAAATTAAAAACAAATTATATTTTAACATGGTTAAAACTGATATAATTGTATAAAAATGTTATAGAAAAATACGATTTGATTTCATAGAAGTGCCACATTTTTAAACATGATAAAATGCTCTCGCATTTATGTCCCATTTTATACGAGTTTCCATAACGAATTTTTTTTTCTTCTAATTTTAATGTGTATCAATGACGACAATTATCCAATTTTTATTTTTAAAGAAATAAATTTTTATCTCATAATTTCAAAGATATTTTGTAAGTAGTTATTTTTAAACTTTCACGTGATAAATAAATCATTTGTATGTAATATGACGCTCAGAAAGCTACGAGATTTTTAAAGGATATCCCGAAAAGATGTTGCCATTCTCTGTTGTTTTTTTTTTTTGCACAAAGTTATACAATTGGCAATCTGCACTCCATCCACCACGGGGAATTGAACCCCGGACTGGCGTTGCAAGTTCACCGTTAAGTATCCATGATTAAAACTGCAACTATTACAGCTTTATACAAACTTTTCACTGTAACCGAATGAGCATTGTTGTTATTGCGTTCTAAATCATTTTTGAAATCCAACTTTTGTAATTTCCTGTCAAAAATAAAATTTAACAACAAAAATTTTTCCTTGAAACGTAAATAAGAATACATTTCTATACTTAACATTAACAGAACGTAGAACTTTTTAACAACTGAGAACACTTAATCTAATAAACATTTTAACTGTTCATAGAATATAAAAACTATCCAAGTTTCCACACAGATGGTTCAAGTACTCTGCAAATCTGAGCGTTGGCGATATTTTAATTAGATACAACTAACTAAGTTGTAATATAAGTATGATATGTATTGGTGAAAAAAACTTATCAACACTAACGCCTAAATCAGTAATAAGATTGTTCTAATTGTGGTGTAATAAACCTACAAGTTTATGTTGTTCATAAGTTATGTTACCTAACGACAATTACTAAAAACTGATAAAATATAACTATTATACAAGTACTTAATACCAAGTTCTTTGTGAAAACAACAAATATAGCCAATTTCTTATATTAATGGAGCAAAACTCAGTTTTTCTCTGCCACAATGGATCAGTCACTCAATTTGGTCATCACATATCACTCAGGACATAACGTTAGACAGAAATATATATTTTGTCAAGTTTATGCTACATTTTGTAGAGGAACTTCGTTGGATACCCTGAAAAATAGGATAGCAAAACTGTCAAAATGTATTAAAAATAACATTAAAAGCTCGATAACCACTAATTTATAATTATATGTACCCAAGAACCAATCCTCCTCCTACACGCTCCAACATTTTGTGTTTATTCCGAGTTACTAATAAACATTATTTATATATATATTTATAACATAAAAATTAAAGCAAATTGAAATAAAAACATAAGATAATCATATTATTTATTATCTTGAACAGAAGTAGCTGCTCTATCACAAATGTCTTCTTTATTTGTTACAACTTAAGATCTTATTTAGAAGAATGTTACATCTGCATTTTACGAGATGTTGTAAGATAATCAATATTAACCCTTATGTCTTTATTTTCATCTTTTAAGCCAGTATTACAAGAAGATCATATACAAAGATCCACCTACCGTTTCTTTTTTTCAAGGTAAGCTACTCGTTTCTCTTCCGGATTCCATGGAAACAGAAACGTTGATAAAAATGCTAAAATGAAATATAAAAGAACACATTAAACATAACGCGGGACATCCACTTATGCAGCAGTTGGTTCATTGCTTACTTTCAACTAAAAATCTAACTTATTAGAATAAAATTGCTCAAACGAACACATGAATTACTCCTATTGTTATTGTTCTCCAAATCTAACTAACTTTCAGTAATTCTCATTATATAATAGTCTTCTATTTCATCTAGAACCCCGAACTCTCCCATTTGGTTCCTAATACTAGTATAATAGCAACTAATGGCATAGACAAGCCTTTATAGTTGCCTGGACACCATTAGGGCATGGTTACATTGAATGCAGTACTTTGGTCTGGTTCTCCTTTGCATGTATGCAGAATCTGCGGAGCTTGTGGCTAAAGAAATGTATAATAATTACATTGTATGCAATTACCTCAAAACAGCAGCATTTTACGAGCAGCTAACCAGGTTACCCATTCTATTCATGGGGCAATATTTTACAAAAAACTAAATAGGTTATCCATTCTATTCATGGAGCAGTATTTTACAAAGAACTAAATAGGTTATCCATTCTATTCATGGGGCAGTATTTTACAAAAAACTAAATAGGTTATCCATTCCATTCATGGGGCAGTAATTCACAAAAAACTAAATAGGTTATCCATTCTATTCATGGGGCAGTATTTTACAAAGAACTAACCAGGTTATCCATTCTACTCATGGAGTAGTAGTTTACAAACAGCTAACCAGGTTACCCATTCTATTCAGGGAGCAGTATTTTACAAACAGCTAACCAGATTACCCATTCTATTCATGGGGTGCATTTAATATTTTGAACTAAGTTATATATTTGATTATGTAGTAATGCTAGTTTCTTTCAGTTCATTAAATATTTATTCCCCCTTATTCACATTTCACACCAATCCTACTGCAACAAAGTAATTTTTTATGCTTCAGTTCCATTATAGGTCAAGAATTTATCATATATTGTTCAGGCACTGCTGAAACTCAGCTACACCACTGATAGCCACTAAACTCATTCTTGGATCAATTATGGTTATCTTTAACTCTCACAGACCTATCTTTATCAAACTAAATGCTCTATATTCTTTTTCCAAACTCCTCATTGAACTAGTTATCCTATCAATTTGTTTATTCCAAAGCTTCCTTACCACTGTACAAGTTTAGTTTAAACCCTCTTTAATAAATAGCTTTAAAGCTTTCCCAAACATGCTACTACCTAGCTTGCTTAAGTGTAGCCCATCTATAACATATAATTCACTTTTACCCGAACATTTTCCCATAGGTCCAATCTGACCAACTGTTGCTCTAAACATATCCCTGATAATCCTTCATTTAAGCTTCAAATGCTGCTAAGTAATTCATCACTGCACCTAGCCTGACAGAGCACTCCTGAAAGGTCCACAAATGTATTTCTATCCTTAAACTTCCAAAGCACATCTTTACATTTCTTAGGAAGCTCTTCTTATTTACAATTTACAACATCATTCACTCCTACATACATTATGAAAAGAGAATGCTCCTTGGTATCAGCAGCTAAATTGTCAACCCATTATATAATGTCATATACTTTATCGTCTGACAAGCAGATTCTATGTCTATTCTTTCTATGTTCCTGTCTACATATAACTAAGAATTCAGTTCTGTTTTCAGATATAAATAACAATTATATAGTTCGTATGTTAATTTCAAATGAGATTTTGTGTGACAAACAGATCAGTCTCAACAGTTTTCAATCTTACAAGCACTAAATATCTTTGTTAATTCATATAAATCTAATTTCAGAAATAGATAAAATGATATAAAAACTTTGTTTATAAAAATTTCTACTAATTCTAAAGATCAAGAATAACTTTTGGTGACTAAGACAGAGGTTTTATCATGAACAGAATCTAAGTTTACCTGCATTTCATCCGTGTATAAAAATACACCTTAAAAATGTTCATTACAAATATAAGAAAAGTTTTTCTTTTTTTTCTTAATAGTCCATTTCATATGTACCTGTTGTTCCTACATATTTTCCAGATACCTGAGCTAATATATAAACATAAGAACACAAATAACAAGTTTGGCTTCTTTCAGGATCAAATAAACAACTGAAGCAAGACTAACCAATCCATGTTCAGAATCTGATGTATCCATTTGGCACTGTTAAGTTACTATGCAAGACCCTGATAAGTGTTATTCCTCCCAAGTGGAGGCAAAATTGATGTAAGAAACACAATAAAGATTTAAGTAAAATATTTCATGCAATTTCTATCGTTCAATGTCTGGATAAACGTATATAAGTAAATTTACAAAAAAAAATCTATTTTCATATCAAATCATGCACAAATGCCTTTTTTTTTTTACAGCATAGCCACACTGGGCTATCTGCTGTGTCTACTGAGGGGAATCAAACCTCCGATTTTAACGTTAGTTGTAAATCTGAAGTCTAAATGCTGTCCTACCGAGGGACCCATGCATAAAAACAGCATTCTATACTAAAATTGTTTCTATGACTCCTCTGTTCAGTTTTTTTTTGTATGACAGTAAAAACAATTTAATAATACATACAAAGATAACAAGAAGTCTGGAGACATATTGCAGCAGGTTCTTGTTTTAGAATAGCAGACAGTTAATCTTTATGTGATATAAATTTCAATGTGATATAAAATATTTATGAATAAAGAAAACTAAGCAGATTCAATCACAGCAAAATATGATGGAACTTAAAATGGTACCTACCAAGAAAGCACAAAATGGAAATGTAGCTAAATGTTCCATACCAGCCAAAATTTTCCTGTAATTTCTGAGCTGTCATAGCTCCAAACACATTGCAAACTGCCTGAAAATACATTAAGATTAACTTGCTTTAAAACTATTTAGTATATGGAATTTTAAAATTTTGGCATCTTTAATAAGTTATTCAGCATTACAAGAGCTCCAATTTCACCCAAATATTTCCGGTAGTATCAAGAAGCTTTGTGTACACCTGATCACATAATGTGTATACAAACTGATGGGTATGGCTCTCATTCCCATTTTAATAGAAATGGTACTTAGGAGGTGCTTTTATATTTTGTATTAATAAACATCTCACTGTTCTAGCCACAAAATTATCTTCACTTAACCAAAACAATATAATTAAATCAATCTGGAAACACCATTCACAATAATAAAAATATAATGTTACATAACACCATAAAGAAATTATTAACCAGCACCTTAAAATGTCTAACTGAAAAACTTAATATTTTGAAACACAAAATTTCAGTTAATGTGGAGCACAATATTACTATATATGAACAACAACTCATTTTAACCATTTGTGATTTTTTTACTTGCATTTATTTAGATGTTTGTCACATTTCTTATTTATAAATTTCAAATGAATGTACCTCACTTAGTGTTGTCCATCAATAGATGGTCATTTACAATGTCATTTTATAAGGAAAATCAAGTAATTCTTTTGTTTTACTCATTATTTTGTTATTTTCTTACTAAATGAAAAACATGTAAGTCAAACATAAAACAATATTAAAAATATATTTCAATTAGTGCAGTTAAAATTGACTATTCAGCGACAGAATTATTTAACTGATGAATGTTCTACCTTCAAATATAAATATCTTACTGCCTCATCACAGCAAAGATTTTTCCTACCTACAAATATATTTGTGATAATTTTAAAACTACAAGAATTTGATAACCCTTTTAGTTTTCATACATTTTAGACAGAGATGTGAGTTATACAACAGTAGAAACTAAGAGTCATATAACAGTTGTAAAACAGTAGTAACTGACAGTTGTACAACAGTAGTAACTGACAGTTGTACATCAGCAGTAACAGAAAAAAATCAGCTAAAAACTGCTTTGGTTTAAAAATCGAAAACACAAAATGGGATAAACTTACACCACAAAAAATGGCTAATGTGAAATAGATGTTTTAATATTCACATTTCAGACTGAGATACCCTTCCTCCAGTGATTAAAACATGTATTTTTCATCGGCCATTTTACGTGGTATAAGTTTTCCATTTTGTGTTTTCAGTAGTAACTGAGAGTCATACAACAGTAGTAATCGAGTCATAGAACATTAGTTTCTTAAGAGTAATTTAGTTTTATATTGTGAAATATTTACAAAATACTTTTCCCATAAATTTAACTCTTATCCAAGTTAAAACATAGCTATACTTTAATGTTGTTGATTTCTTTGTGGTTTTGTGAAATTAAAAGTAAGTGACTAAATTAATAAAGAAAAAATGTTAATATCAGTTTTTGATGAAAAAATTACAAAATATTCATTTACAGCCAAAATATGTGCTTTTATCCACACTCCTTCAAACCTCACTCAATACACTATGCATTATTAACATCAACATATCCATGCATTTTTAGCCCTCAATATGAAAGGGTACTACATATAAAAATCAAACATCTATGTAATTAAATAAGTTTTGAAGAAATTTTTTTTTTTTGAGCTATTAATAAATAAAATGTTTTTGCCATTTTCTGATAAGAGTCAAAGATTTTGATATCAAAAAGCAACGGGATAGATGGATGAAAGACATAAATATGTTATATTTGAATAATTCTTCTTGTGTTATAATTCTTTTTCTATACTTTGGTCAGTTTTTCTGTCTTTTCTAGCTAAAGTAATAACACTTTTGTTTAATTTGTTGCCAATCACAACATTCACTTACAACATTACTGGTAAAAGGATATTACAAAATAGTTTAGGAAAATACATTAAATTTCTTTTTCTTTTTTTTTTTAATCCAGAAAGCATGGACAAAAACCACAGAAATATTTTCTTTCTATAAAACTCTTAGAGTTGGTACAGTTGATTTCTTGATATTTATCCTCTACTGATATACAAAAGTTTCAACATTTTAATCATGCAGGTACTTACTGGGAGTATTGTGTGTATTTAAACCTTATTCCCTCTCAACTGTAGTACTCTTTAGAAAATGATACATAGTGAAGATACTGAAGAAAACTTTAGAGCATAATGTATTTGAAAGGGAAAAATAGAGGAAATTAATATATGTTAACATTTTCTTACACTGAAAATGTATTTCCTTTAGGTACTTACCTCCTATCACACAAAGCTATCTTGATCCTTATTTGCCCTCTAAGTATTGGTAAAAAACGTTTTTGCAATCAACACACCAGTCTTTATAACCAATCATGTTTGTGCTATTTCAGAATATGTACATATTATGTGACTACTCTCCACCAATAACATTGTGTTATCTATACTGCTGCAGCTAGCTCCTTCTGCTATTCTCACTCAATCCTCACTTTTGAGAATTAACAGGTATTAACTTAAAAACACCAGCTGTGGTGAGAAAGGGTGGGAAGTGTGCAAGTGAAGGTAAGTACTTATCAAAAATACATTCTCAGTATAAGAAAATGTTACCTACTCTCACACAAAGCTAGAATCCCACATTGCAAAAGTGGAATGGCTGGTTTAGGCACACATATATCTAACCAACGAGAAAGTGACCACCCAGAATGAATGAGTGTGCTATAAGATGAAAATTAATCACACCTGTGGGGTACAGCACTACTTCTGGAACAGGCATGTTCTTCACCAAGGAAATAGGAAAGTAACACAAAATGGGCAGTTTTGAAAATACTGACATAATTAAATGTCGTAATAATTTATATGGCACCAGAAAAGTGGTGGTATTGCTGTATGTTCTTCAGAACAACTATTTTTTGTTTGTCATAGGATTGTGCCTGATACTGTACCTGTGTTAAAAACCTAACCAGAAATGCTTGCAGTGAACCACAGATGTGGATGATAGATAGGTGCAAGCTGTAGCAAGATATAACAGAATGAGCTTGGTACCTACCCAGCCTCAAACTGACAGACTATGATCCATAGCTTGTCCTTGGCATTAGTAGGTTGGGAAAGAGAGAGAAAAAAAAGGAACAACAAAAACTTGTTAGGGCATGAGGACCATGTGGTCTATTTATGATGATATCAATTGATTAGGTTATTCTGTGAAGTATATTCCACCCAGGAATAAAACATCCAAGGGAAATGCAAGTAGGGTGTTTGTTGTTATCCACTGATTAAGGTATTTTGTTTAGTGAGATCCATCTGGGCAAAAACATCCAGGGAAAACTCCAAAAGGGTTATTTGTTTTTATCAATTGATAAAGTGATATCGACTAGTGTGGTTCACCTGTGCAAAAACATCCAGGGGAAACACAGGTGAAAGAAGATGAAGTTATTTTGTCTAGTATGGTCCACCTGGGTAAAAACATCCAGGGGAAACTCAAATAGGCATTTTTCATATTAACAAGTGAAGAAGGTATAGTGGCTAGTGCGGTCCACCTGGCCAAGAACATCCAGGGGAAATGCAAGCAGGGATGGTGCAATGTTTGTTGTTATGAATTGATGAAGTTATATTAGCTAGTGTAGTCCACTCAGGCAAAAAATATCCAGGGGAAACACATCATGAATAGATTAAGTTAGTTTGCCTTGTGTGGTCCAGAGGAAACATACTATAAATTAATTTAATTATTTTGTCTAGTGATACACCCAAGCAAAAAGTTGCTTTCTCTATAAGTAGTTTAAACAGCTTCACCCTCTTCTCACTGAGTGAATAAACATAAGTATTGTAAATATTGAAACTCACTCAGGAGGAAGCCTCCACCACTCCAGTGACTAGAAATTTGGAGTAGTAAGGACTCCTGTGCTCCACTAGAAGTAAAAAGGGAGGTAAATGCAATGGGGACTCTGAAGAAATGATACACCGGAGACTGTGCAATGGGTATCTGCAATTCCCTAGTTTGAAAAACAGACTGACCCCAATTTATGTAATAAAAGGGTCAGCAGGGATGGGCAGAAACCCCTTCATTATTCATGAAGTCCATGAGGCCAGTGGTCTTAAATAAACACCCCATATCTACATTGAGCATTATATAGTTACTCTAAACTAGTACAGGTTTGAGGCAAAGCATGCCTAACCAGGCAACATCTGCTACAAAGTTGGATCTGTAAAGTAGATGTTACGATTAGGAAAAATGAAAATATAAAAGAAGGAAAGTGATCAGATGTACCCCAGTCAAAGGTGAACTGACATTTGTATAATCCCCAAGGGAGGTGGACGATATCCACTAGAGGAAGATACAACCAGGTCATACAGATAATGAGCGACAAAGGTATTGGGAGTAGTCCACATTCTGTGGTGCAGCCAAGGATATAGTGATGTGACAAATCTGATGAGAAAAATGTTGTGGATATGGTGACCTTCCATGGATAAATCCAAATATGCCAGCCTAATGAGTAAACAAACCCAACCAATAGGTATGACAGGGGACAGAGCATAGGAAACGGAAGGGTTCCAGGGAATAAAAGGTTGGAAGTGTGAACCACAAATGGAAGCAGTATGTATCACATATCTCCTTAAGGAATGAACTGGACAAGGAAATTGAACAAGAATGGAACAGGAGGACAGGTGGGAAAAGGAAGGTGGGGAAATGGGTGGGAAAGCAAAACCACCTAAAATGGAAGCATAGGTCCTAGGGAAGAAGGACTGGTTGGGATAGAGAATGACATAGGAGAAATGATAATGGATGCAGGTAACATTAAAGGCATAAATATCTTAATGAAGATGACCACAAACAAGGAGGAGAAGAAAATAGGTCCTAAGGGAGAGAAGGTAGATGGAACAGAAAGACTAGTAAAAATAGTTATGTAACAGAAAGACAAGGCCTAAATAGAGGCATAAATAGAAAAGGCATAAATAACAACACTGGGAACCCAATAAGCACTCCAAAGGAATAGAAAAAGAAGGTAAGGTAAAGGGAAGACAAAACCATATGAAAACTGGAGAAGCAGAAGGAGGTCAACAAGGCTGCCCAGTAGCTAGACATGGACGAAGTGGACAAGCTTCTGTCAAACAAATGGGTGAAGAATAGGGAAAGATGAGGAACAGAAGGGTGGGAAAGAAATAACCCATAGCAAAGAAACCAAAATCAGAAGGTATACTATCATCAGTGGTAAATGGAAGAAGATCTAATGGATTGGGAAAGGAAATATGCAACAACACATGGAGACAATGAATCTGATGAAGGCCATGTGTGAAGACAGAGTGGTGACCTCTGTGTAACTAGGGGCCACTCCTTCAGGAAAATCTTGTTTAGAGAAGATAATTGAACCTTCAACAGATTCAGGAAGCCAGGCAAAGACCACAATGTGATGACTGTGGGCCCAGAGAGGAGATCCAGGATCTGAAAACACAGAATTGGCACCCCCTGGGTCAGTGATACAAGTGACCACTGTATATCGGAATGTACCATGACCATCATCTCCTGTAGGAGAGGAAGGAAGTGGGACAAAGCTCAATGAACTACCAAAGGCTCAATAAACATGATATGGAGAAAAAGACTCCATGAGCAACCAGAAACAGGAAATCACCTGGGAGTAGAGGTAAGAACCCCAACACTTTAAAGATGAATATGTGAAGAGATGTCTATCTGGATGAGGTGCAGTAAGCAGCACTCCCACCATGGTCTGGACTCTGTCTAACCACCAAACCAGGGATCCGAGGAGAAGTTCCATAGGTCAAGGGGTGTCCAACAAAGGGAACTTATATGAGCCTGACCCATGGGAATGAAAGCATTCAAAGAAGCCCATATCGCCAAAGAGATCGTACATCTCGAGCCATAAGAAAAGGTGAGGGCATGTGAACTGCTCGCTTCCAACATGAAGACGAAGAGGAGAGAGCAGTTCCCGACTGAGGTTTAAAAAAAGACCCCCCCCCCCCAATGGGATATTGAGAGAGTGTAAGAATGGAGTTACACCCCTGTTATCAGGAATCTCACCCATTCTGCACCCTGTAGGAACAGAGGCGTGTGCATGTGGTCTCTGGGAAGCAAGTGAGAGCAGTGATCCCTAGAACGAAAGGTGCAAAAAAGTCGGGCAAGAGTTTGTATTCCCCGACAAAACACTTAAAGAGCCGAGATTAGTCCAAAAGGGAGGGCCCTGAACTGGAAAGGGAAAACTCAACTCAGAGCAAAAATTAAATATGAACGAAGTTGGCACTGTGGGGAAGAACACTGAATTGCAGACTACAAGGAGAAAATAAGGTTTCTAGGATTATGAACATAAGTAAAGGAGCCAAAGCCAAGCTCAGCCCTACAAACGTGAAAGAAGAGAACACATCAATGATGTCAAGTCAAGTCAAAAAAAATAATAATTATTAAAATAGAACAATGAAATATATGTTAATAGTAGTAATGATATGTAAGGTACAAGCTATCTAAACATACCTAGTTAAAAAATACATATAAATATGAAATGGACAAACCATCTAAATCTACCTAGTTCACAAAGTCAGTAATAATAATGAACATGCAAACAGATGAAAACATAGTAATAACCAATATCTAACCAACAATTCCACTATATTAACCTAGATGACAAAGGACACTTAATTAAGTCCTACACTGATGAAAATTGGGATGAGAAGACTTATTCAACAATGACGAAAAAAAATTAATCAAATAGGACAACGAATTAGATGTTACCAGTTGTAATGACATGTAGCTGATACCCAATCTAAACACACCTAGGTAAGGTACTTATTAATAATGAACTAACAAAACCATGAAATTTGCCGAGTCTACAAAGTATATAATATTGACAAACATACAAAACAGTTAAATTGACTAGAAATATAAAGTAATAATCAACATCTAACTTACATTTAATCTAAAGTAACTTAGATGGTAAATGACATATAAATATCTAACTTACCAAAGTCCGTGCACTGATAACATGAAATACGTAATTCTCCCATGTGTAAATAAGTGCAAAGCCACACAAAGGGCATCTAAAGTGTGCCTACCAAGGGTATATCAACCAGTTGTGAAGTGTACATGTTGAAAAACGTACCACAGATCTCCTGGGAAGAAGAACGATTCACCAAAGAGAATGACATGGTGGCACAGAAACAGATGGAAGGTGCAGGAAAAATAGAGTCCAAAGTATCTACTCATTGATTATATTCTTTCTCAGAAACATTGTCACATGAAAAGAAGAAATAAATCACCAGCCAAAGATATAACGAATTCCCTACGAATTATGGCCTGTATCTCCTCAGCAGATAAAGTCAAATTCAATTCCTGTGAAGTTGGTACATATATTCATCACAAATTTATACAACAATTTATTGTAATTAGGTAATAAAAAACTGTTGAAACAAGTGAATGCAAACACAGCAAAAGAAAACTGTTGAAAACAATTGAAATGGCAAAGAAGCACATTTTCATATATGGGAAAAACACACGTCTAAACAATGCTGTGTCAATTGAGAAAGTGAGGATTGAACAGGAATAGCAGAGGGAGCTAGCTGTGTCAGTATAGATAGTGTAATAATATTGATGGAGAGTAGTCACATGATAAGTACATGTTCTGAAATGGTACAAAACTCATGGCGTATAAAGACTGGTGCACTGATTCCAAAATTTTTTTAAGCAATACTTAGAGGGCAAACAAGGATTGAGATAGCTTTGTGGGATATGAGGTAAGACCATTTCAAAATTCTGGCAAGTTCAAGCAATTCTGAGTTACTAACAGAGAGCTAACTAAGTAGTGAGATAGAAGAAACTACCTATAAAAACTAACTTCTACCAGTAACTCTGCTATGAATTTTGCATTTATTGTTCTTGTGCTCACTAAAGCCTGATAAACTACTATCTGTTTAGGTAAAGGTTCAGTGTGATCAGTGTCCAGTCATTCATGTGTGAATTGCCATGCTATCACACAAGGAAAAAAATCATTTATACTAGAAATTCAAACATTTCATAACCTGCTTTCAGAAATGTTACACTTCTGATCTCTCCAAGCAAGACACTGACACTGATGTAACAGCAAATCTATGTAGATAAGTCTTCTGAAGAACTTCCTTGTCAATTATCATCTGATGTTACTTGTTCAAATGGAATCTCCCATGTAAAAAACAATTACTCAACGAAAAAGCTAAATACAATATGGAAGACAATGACACTAAAATAAATTTAAATGAATCTATTTGTTACCATAGAGAGTTTTTCTTTGTTAATTATCTTCTGATGTTATGTGATCAAGGGAATCTCCCAATTAATAAAATAATATCAATAAATAAAAATACATTTCTAAATATCAATTTTATTCAAAAAGTACCACAAAACAATGCTTATTTTTACATTTAAAAAAATGTTCCTTTATCACCCACATACATAGAATTAAATCACATATTAATCATATTAAATAGTTTTCTTTATACTTTCAGAATGAGTGTCTAAATATAATAGATTACTGTTAATACTTAGTAATAAAATAAACCTGTGCACTGACTAATATTTATTTGTCAAACGTTTCCTGAATAAATATTTAAAATTATCGTCAACATTAACCACTTTGTCTGCTGGTTACATAATGTTAAAAATTTAAGCAAAATGTATTTAATTATTTTATACTTTTATTCCTTTATTTAATAAGCAAAACACACAAAATACGTAGAAATACGTAGACTAACTTTTGGCATTTTAACTTGCTTCTAGTGGCTCATGACTAGTAAAATCCAATTTGGTGAAAAGTTTAAAATTTGATATGGTTGTTCATTAAAACATTTAACGATAAGCATTTAAAGACTATCTAAACAAACTTACTGGAATCCCAAAAGCGAGACCATAAATTGTACCACCATGTTTGGTCCCAAAAACTTGTGCTGTGGCAGCAGGTACAACAGCCCAAATACCCGAGCTGACAAAGAAAATACTGATCACCCATGTAGCCCACATGGGCTTATACCCAAACTGAGTTGCTGGAAAACTGGCAACCAGGCTACCAAACAGAAATGTGATAATACCCATGATAACCTAGGAACAAAAAGAGAAAGAACTATGATCACCCAATTAATGGTCTGACATGAATCAATGTATTTTGCTTTTACAAAAAAACCTAGTAGGCTCCATTGTCAAATTCAATCAAATATAGGTAAATGTGAATTTGCTCTTCACTGCTGATAACGTCTTAACAAAAGAACTACTAAGCAAATTGGTAGAGAAACTTTTGTCATACATCTTGGGAACATATTTGGAGATCTTTTAGTAACTTTATCTTACTGAAGAATGAGTTAGTAGTTAGATAAAAGTATTTACATAAGAAAGAAATGCTCTAGTACCATTCACTAACAAAACACTTGAGAAGAAATATATCAGGTAAATTGGAACATTTTAGTTTATGCATGTAAAAGTTATTAACTAAATATTTGAATCTTACCCGATAACTACTCTTATCAAATACGAAACCCCAGAAGGTTTTTCCAATAGCATTAGCAACACCAGAAAAACCAGCAATGGTTGCTAGAAAGACGTCATCTTTGATAAATGTCTGTCCAAATGCCTAAAAAGATAAGAAAAACAAAAAACAATTACTTTTTAAAGTAAATGATAAAATGTATTTAACTATTTAAATTCTTTTACGCCATTCAATGGTATTAAACACTGAGTTATGATATGTTTACACCCTGTTTAATGGTTATTTTTATGCATAATTACATTATGTGCATATAATGAAAAAAATACCAACAGTTTATCAGTTCTCAAATGATCTAGGAAACAATTTACATTAGATGATGGAGGATCATTACTTTTTATATTTTTCAGAAATTTAACAGCATTCTTAAAAAATCTTTTTCACCAATAAATATGAGATAAGAAAAGCACACACAGAAAATTAGACATGAACTCTGGATTGGTTTCACAGCTGTTAAAAAAAATTAAGAAATGCAAATATGTATCTTATTTACCAGTCTTTGATGAAAATCATCAAAACTTACATATTGTGATTCACGTGTAATTCATGGTTAACCTGGCTCAATCTCAGATTAGTTTTCATTATAACGTGGATTCAAAACTTAGGGAACTCAAGAAAAATCTCAACTTTAAATGTAATATATAAGTTTCCTGTATTTATTTTTTAGTCAAGGATACAGAAATGCACTGAATTTATATTGCAATTTAATTTTTTAAAACTTGCTAACAAAATACATATTCAACAACATGAGATACATGCAATGCATCAAAGAGTATGAAAGATCTGATCAGTATTGTTGTGGCCTGGGTTTGCAACTTCCATCTGGTGTACAGTTTTGAAATTCTCACAGTTTTTTTCGATTTTTTTGTACAAAGTATGCTACGGTAGCATTAAGTTGGATTTGGTCAACTGATAAACTTATTTTTTTGTTTTTTTCAGAATTTGTCGTGCATACTGGAGAGATTTAGACATTTTGGCAATAAATCTAGATAATAATAAAAAAGAAACAATTTTTATTTCAGCTGATGTTACTGATAATACTGATTCAGCTGATAATACTGGAGAGATGTAGACATTTTGGCAATAAATCTAGATAATAATAAAAAAGAAACAATTTTTATTTCAGCTGATGTTACTGATAATACTGATTTAGCTGATAATACTGGAGAGATGTAGACATTTTGGCAAGAAATCTAGATAATAATAAAAAAGAAACAATTTTTATTTCAGCTGATGTTTCGCCATTGTGACTTCATCAGAACTGTTCCCACTTACCCCCACATATGTTAACGTGAGACATCTGCATACTAATATGCAAATTATTATGCAGCAACATGGCAGATCTACTCTCAACCCCCTGATAGGACTACCAGAAGCTGGAGTGCATGAACGTTCAATATCAATCCCCAGTAACACCCCACAAAGGTGATGAAATGTGTGCAACATCATCCCCTGAATAGAACCACACCAAAACTGGAGCACATGGGCTTTCAACATCAACCCCCAGGACCCTCTGCACGAAGGTGGAGTGCATTTATGAAATATGCACAATACTATCCTCCAGATTGGACCTCACAGAAGCTGGGACACAACATCAACCTCTGGGACCCATCTCACAGAGGTGGGGCACAGGATTGGAGGATCTTTGCCATCTACACTGCCAGAATGGAAGAGATCAAAGAGATCACATTCAGGAGGTTATCTCTATGATTCACCACCCGAGCAGCTAGAAACTGGAAAGTGACAAGGACTCTCATACTCTACTAGAAGAAAAGGGGGAAGAAATGTGGTGGAGAATCTGGAGGAATGCTGATGCTGGAAATAGTGCAGTGGGTGACCACAAACTTCCTATTTTGAAAAGCAGACACCCCTGATTTATGCAATCTTGTAGAACACCCCATCTGAACAGTATGAATTATTGGCCTTGGGTATATATTGAGATTGGTTGGAATAGGTCCCACCCAAAGACAACTTTGGTGGGACATTCCAAACAACCCTCACCAAGCTACCCCTTGCAACATCATCCTTCACTACTAGAGTCCAACCCCATGGAGGTAGAGCATCAGTAGTAGTCAGGAGTAACCTGTGCAACATAAACTTCTAGATAGGACTGCACGGAGACAGGAGTGCATCCATAACCAGCAGAATGTCCAGAATAATCACAGTCCGCAGGACAATCAGATTCACGATCGTGCACCATCAGCCCCCAAGACCTACCAAATAGAGGTGGAATGACTGAGTCATTAGGAAGTAGATAATGTACTCCAGTATGGCTTTTTGTTGGCCATACAATGCAGATTTGTAGCATACCTGGAAGGCAACACTCACCACATGATGGGATCCTAGACCTAAAAAGGGACATTCCCCTAGAAGAAAAATAATAAATAAAAAAAACAACTTACAAAGTCACAGTTGAACTAATAAAATAAACATAAAAAGAAAAAAAAATGATACTCGAAGTAGTAGGAATAGGATTTGAAGTTGTGACACAAACTTGGAAAATCCTAAATGAAATTAAGTTAATTTGGCAAAATGCTACACTGAACAAACTTTATAAAAATAATAGAAAATGTTAACGTACTACTTTTTAAATTTAAAGAAAATTTGGCATGAAAAACAACACAATGTTAAAAACATCTGTACTTGATAACTGCCTAACAAGAAGCGATGGCTAGGTAGAATCAAACAAAGGGAGTCATATGCATTAGGAAGGAGGGTTGTTGCATGATTTACATGTTAAGATGCAGTGAGCCACGTTGATCGTGGGGTAGCTAGGAGTTTGAAGACTTGTGGCATGCAAAAACATTTTGCATATAGAGGACAGCACTGAACAATGTACGTGTGAGAAGAGGAACGGTACCATACTGGAAAAAACATTTAAATTTCACTGTACACACATCAGGTCAGGCTTAAATAAACCTAAAACAATCTCTAAACATCTTAGTTTAGGTCTAAAAGCATAGTACATGAAACACTACACACCTTGTACATTGTGATGACATACACCATCACTTGCAAGAGAAGTCCAACACACAATCCCAGAATGTACAACTCTTTTGTTTTGAAAGCATCTTTAACTTCCATATCTCCAGGTACAACTTCACTCTTAGAAATATCACTGTTCTCACTCTTGATGTTAAGCTTCTCTGGTACACCTTTTCCATTACTAATATCTCCAGTTTCCAACTTCTTATCAATCACTTCCTCCTTCTCAGATATTTGAGGTAGTTTTTCAGTGTCAGACTCTTTACAGTCAGAGGTTTCCTGAAGTCAAAGTTTAAAGTTTCAATATTTTCCAGGTTCATTACTTTCTAAAAGTATTAAAGGCATGATACTACTAGATTTGAATAAACTTGTCTTCCTTCTGAATTTATTTAATTGCATACACATTGATAGACTTGGGGTTTTCATCAAGTTCATACATATACCTTAAAAGACATGTATCTTCCAAGATATCTCAGTAGTAAAAACTATATCATGTAATTTTGAAATTTCTATAAGCCTACGACAAGATGTCCAAATTACGATATTGTCATCTAAAGACTGAAAAATTGATGTTGATCATCATAGTAATAGTTAAATATGTTATTACTGAAGAGAACAGGATTTTATTAAGCTTTCAATAAGCCTTATAATGTTAACAAACTCTTTTTGTGAACAAGAGGCAGATACTTTATCACATTATAATGACTGACATGGTAGTATACTGGTGGTACAGAATTCTAGTGCTCTTGAGGGTAACATACATGTGCTCATGTCAATGAATGAGTTATTAACCTAGTATTTACTACAAGCTCAGGATATTGGTGTAAACATGCTTTCAACACACACTACTAACTGAATTATTCATTTAAAACAAAATTGTATTATTGATGAAAAATATGTTGTTAAACTAAAAGTTCCAATTTTTTAATGTTAATAATCATAAACAGTAGTACTCCTCTTTTATAAATAATTCACACATGTTGAAGAACATAAATAAAGTTTGTAATGCAAAAACAAGTTAAACATGAAGGTCAATTAACATTACTAAATATAATTTGAGCACGTAATTGGTTTTTATTATCATTCAACATTCTCTTAAACTTTTAGAAGTCCCAACAGCTTCAAAGACTACACTTGAAAAGTTTTTAATGTCCTCCTTATCCATCATCCATATCTAATAATGAATAAAGGACAAACTATGAAATTGATAAAATGAGCGAGACTAAACAACAGTGTGAGTGTTGTAGCATAATCAATTTCAGTGGATTACCGAGAGATAAGCAACATTTGAAGTTAAAAAAAACTTATACAAAGATTAGCTTTTGTCTTAAATATTATGCTTATTGCTAGTTAATATCATCTGCAACAACTAAGCAAAAATATGATGTTCAAGAATACAAAGATAAACTGCTTGTATATAATTTAAGTGACCAATATATTTAAGAATACTTACATGTATGAGAAAAGTTTAATAATATTGCTACATTTAATACATATAAATAGCTGCATTAAATTTTCTTTTCAATGCCCATGACATCAAATGGTCCAACCCTTAATGGGAAGTCTTTGTTACTAAAACAACTACAAGTTATCAACTATTTCATCAAATCACACTGCATCATCTTTCATGCTGTGTCAAACAAATACTTTGAAATTTTCATATTCTACTTTAATTTCTATCCTAAGTATGTGTACATGAATATTTCTGAAGAAATAGCATTCATTATTCTTGTGAAGATTTTGTAGTAAATGTGGGTTATTTTACTTATATTAATGAAATGTTTTTTTTAATAGCCCAGCTCCTTTTGATGCATCTTACTGGTTGTAATAAAGTTGCTTCTGTGCATGCAATCAACATTTTTATATGTAGTTTACACAATCTTTTTTAATGAAGTGCAGTAACATGTCAAGTATTTTATCTCTATATCATGCTTTTATTTTTACCTTTGTATCAGTAATTCCTTGTTGTGGAAAAAGCAGGCAGCAAGCAATGATTTGGATAGTGGAATAAACACCTCCCATGACTAGCATAACATAAGGAACCTTATCTAGAAGGTCCTTATCTGTGAAATATCTGTAAAAACATAAAATAAGAATATATAGTTACTTAAAATTCTGTTAGAAAACTGGTAGAAATAACCCAAGATACCACTGTAGAGAAGGGAGTTTTTTGTTGTTTTTTTTGGGGGGTGGGGGTGGAACAAAAATCCCCTGACTCAACTTCATTGATTATATGGGCCACTGAAGAGAAAGTCTCCAAAATATCTTTGGAACTAATGTGTTTGATCATCAAAAAGTGTAGTTAATTCTGATTCCAACAATATATTACTTTTTTGTCATACAGCCAACACCTACTGATCTACAGTCCTTATAATCTCTGAAGTCAAGTCAAGGAATTTCATACCCCCCCTCCCCCAAATAGTTGGCTCTGCCAAGAAGCCACTTTCCATTGATCTAATTTTGTCTAATTTTCTGTATATAACAACGTTTATGACAAATACACAAATACATGTCAATCCTTTACTTGCCAGTTTTTGTAAAAAAAAAATCAAATTCTGATATTTGAGGCTTTTTTTGCTGGAAGATTGCATACCAACCTGTACTAGTTCACTCAACACAAAAGTGAATTACATCAATAAAATGTATAGTTCATGTTGATTCCAATGACATACTACTTTTTGTGATGTGACTAATACTTACTGCTTTATGACACATATAATCCCCAAAGATGACTCAGAATATATTTTTTTACCTCCAAATACCTGACCTCTGAAAAAAACTTTCTTTTATTTCAATGTTGTCTAAGTTTTAGTACAGAATATTTGTGGTAAAAATACTGCAGTGTAATTATCTTCTCTTACAATATTTTCTTAATCAAGCTCTACCTCTACTAGACTATAGATAGGAGTTTGTTATTAATTGTTTTTTTTTCGAAACATATTTTAATTCACTTAACATTTTTTATTTTAATTATTTCAAAAACATTAAAAGATCCTTAGTTTCAAACCCTAAATATATATAGGTTTGTTGGAATATATATTCAATATAAAGGCATGTACGGACAATACATTTTAATATATAGGTTTGGTGAAGTAATACATTCAACATATTATTTCAAAAAAATGTGTCTATCATTATTCTAATTACATCAATTAATCGATAATTCAATAATTTTAATGATCAATTAATAAAAATTACAATTATCACAAATATAATAAACTAATTGAAATAATGATTAAACTGATTATCATGAAAATAACAAAATAATCAAAATTAGGTCTTCCAATTATTCCAACTATTCAAGTAACTGAAATATTGATTGTTTATTGTCAAGCACAGAGCTACATAATGGTTTATCTATTCTCCGCCCAATTTTAGCTTAATAACTTGTATTCTTTTTATTTCAAGTTTATTCAGCTTTAGTGATTTGGGAGGAGGGCTCACCATCGAGGGTCTTGGTTTTGATTCATATCATATCAAACTTCCTCACCCTTTCTTTGTTATAGCAAAGCTACTAAGGCTATCTTGTCACTGTCACTAATTTTAAGCTACTGAAGACATCTGGTAGCACCCACTGCCAACTTTTTTATCTTCTTATACATACCATGATTTGAGAAACACTGCACCAACCAATAACTTTTGATTAATATGTTAGTAGTGCTCCTCAAACCATGGTATGTACAATTAATCAATTAGCAAATACCACAAAATGTTCAGCCCTAATCATTACATAAGTTTATTTGAATGATACATTCAATGCATAAATTTGATGGAATAACATAATATTCCTAAGCTCAATGGATTAAGATAATGATATACAAGCTTATTGTGTAGGCTGGGATTAAGATAATCTGTGAATTGAAATTCAGAAAAATAGGAACACCACAAACATACATACCGGGTAAATTACTATATTTTAGAGAATTTTAGTTTTCTACCTTATGTTATTAACAGTGTAAGTTTCAGTACCCTATTCAGAGTCTTGCATACAGCTATTCCTGAAAAATGGAGTCTAGATGCAACTTTTGCATAGAATATCCTTAATGAGTCAAAAATTTGATTTATATGTGCTTTTCATGTGGTCTTTCAGTCTTCAGAACTATAAATGGAACCACACTAGTAGTACTGGCCATAGCATGATTGCTTGTACTTTTATACCCTTTATTCTGGTGAGGCACTTTCTGATTTGTTGGATAACAACCAATAACAGTGTAAACTACAATGTGTGACTGTATGCCGGTGTAGTTCTTTTTCACACAATAATGGAATGATACTCTCACAGTATTTGCCTTTTATATCCTTATTACTCTTCACTTCCATAATTATTTCCACTATTGTATTTTCTTTTAAATTATGTAAATCAGTAACGTTGCTAATAAATGTAAATCACAAGTAACATTACCTCACTGTAAGATCAGCAAAATTTCCTGTTTTCATTGCTTTTATAAAGCACAGTTACAAGTTACAATAGCTTGAATTCACCTCTTAAACAGTTTTACACATAATGTAGAACTGACTGGATCTACAGTCAGCACTAACTTAGTTGTGTGAAAACTTACAAGATCTCACCAACTAATAATTTGTATATAGTGCTGCTTAACTAGTAAACTTGATGTAGTTCTGAAAATAGGTTTCAATACATTCATGCACCATTCAGCCAGTTAATGGAACTAGAAACAGCATAAATACCAAACACAGAAATGGTCTGGCAACTTCAAATATTTCTTTTTCAAATGTGCCTTTAGACATATAAAAAAACAAGTGCAGTCAGTGCTACAGTTTGTAATTCAGTAACGAAAGTATGTGTAAAGTACAAATTATTCAGAAGGAATGGGTAGAAATAAAACTAGTACTGGAAAGTATTTCCTATCTAAAAAAAATCAGGACAAAAAACCAGACTTTCTTTTGTAAACAAAATACACATATCACCTGAATGAGTAACCAAATGAAAAACTGCAAGAAATGCCTTGTAGTAGAGACATATTTAACATGAAAACTAGCAAAGACCTAAGCATTAATAAACCAAAAACTAGGAGCAAGCATACTTAAGTACCACAGCCAGAAGGTATTAATGAAACAAAAAGACATGAATTAGTCAATAGTGTGTATCATGTGCATCTAACAGCAAATACTTTGAAGATACTAACTAGTCATTGTCATACTTTGTTTTAACATTGCAAAGTAACCCTCCATCAGTTTTCAATTTCACATTATATATGGGAATGTAGAAAAATCATGTTTGAATGTTGCCAAAAAGAGCAGTTTATGCCATAGGCATACTAGAAAACACAACCAAAAGTCCATGCTTGATAGCTGTGTTCCACTACATACATGTATCTTTGTAAATTCCCAGCTAATATCAATCATTAATCCTACTAAACGAGGAATTCAAAATAACTGACGTAGCAGGAATTCAATGTGATGGATGAAGTAACCAGTATAATGAAATCACTTGGAACCTTTATAATTACCACACCAACACTAGCTGTCTACAAGAGTGTCAGCATAACCACAGAAAGACAAACAGGTGAATATAAGGTTGGCAAAAGATCCTAGAACATGAAATAAAAAATATGATGCTGTAAGGTTCTTGCTTTTAACATTTAGTTTGTCTACAAGAATGTCATTCTAACCACAGGAAGATACATGAGTGAATATAAGGCTGATAAAACATCCTCCAGCATGGAAGAAAAGAAGTTTCACCATGCTTTGCTTTACAAGCCTGGCTCAAACCAAGTTCACTTTGTGGGCTCTAGTAAGCTCTGGATAACCAATGCCTATTACAAGAAGAGTGATCAAGGTCCAAATCTTGTATAATAATGTCTTCTAGGTAACAGAAGACCTGATTGGTTGGAGATGATAATTATATGAGAATACACATAAAAACAATGAAATAGAATATATCAAAAGTTAGCAAATAACAACTTAGATGATACCAAACAATCAGTATATATATATATATATACTGGAAATTATTACATATATTTTCATTATGTATAGAACAATGAAATCAGCAGTATGTGTATTTTATCACTAACAACATCACAATAGGATATCAAACTCAAAAGGGTGTTCAAAAGAATCAGCTTTCTTGTTATTACTTAAATGTTTTTAAGTCAACACTGCTCTTTTTTCTTTTCAATCTTGTCAATTCCTGATAAACTTCCTTTAATTGAACCAACACTATTGCAGGAATGCTATGAGGTATAAACTATAAATGTGGGTTATATCACCATACTTTTAAGTAAACGGTAAATATTTATATTTCAACACAGTTTTACTATGATGAATTCAAAAACATATCCCCACTAGATCAGTACAGCATTCAATCTAAGTTATAATTCTGGATGTATGAAAAAGTGCCTAGGCTTTAGGATTTTCAACAATAGAATATCAAGCTTGCTGGCTCAACAACTAAAATTTTCATTAGGCTTTAAGTGAGATACAATGAAACTCATTTCTCTGTTCAGTTTTCTAACAATATTTCATAAAGATAAACAATTAATTCTTTTTTACATAATTAATAATAGAAATTACAACAAATATCAAGGCATGCCCAACATAAAAAAAAGTGAATGGATGGTGTCCATTTACCCTAGAGTTTCACAATAACATTGCAATCCAAATAAAAAAGGCTTACCCATCATTCACTACAGCACTACATTCAAAATAAAGAAGGCTTACCAATCATTCACTACAACACTACATTCAAAATAAAGAAGGCTTACCAATCATTCACTACAACATTTCATTCAAAATAAAGAAGGCTTACCAATCATTCACCACAACATTACATTCAAAATAAAGAAGGCTTACCAATCATTCACAACAACATTACATTCAAAATAAAGAAGCTTACCCATCATTCACTACAACACTACATTCAAAATAAAGACAGCTTACCAATCATCCACTACAATATTTACATTCAAAATAAAGACAGGCTTACCCATCATTCACTACAACACTACATTCAAAATAAAGAAGGCTTACCCATCATTCACTACAACACTACATTCAAAATAAAGATAGCTTACCAATCATTCACTACAACATTACATTCAAAGTGAAGAAGGCTTATCAATCATTCACCACAACACTACATTCAAAATAAAGTAGGTTTACCAATCGTTCACTACAACATTATATTCAATATGCAGAAGGCTTACTCACCATTCACTATAACACTACATTCAACATGAAGAAGGCTTACCCATCATCAGCAGGTGAAACATTGGTTGGATTTACAAAGGCTGTTTGAATGTTATTGAAAGCTACAGGACCAACTCCAAAACCTGCTGTTACCAAAGCAAGGGCTAGTCCTTTTCTATATGGAAACCACTGAAAAAGATGTGTATAATATTTTTTAAAAAAATCATAGACAAAAATGAACAAAAGTACACAGGATTAATAAAAGCATTTTTCTCTGAAACAGAAATATATAATGTTACTAAATAGGTAAATTGGTGATAAGTTTACACAGTACCAATAAAAGCTCTTTTATTCTGAAAGACCACTAACTGAGTATAAGTGATAAACATAATATATGTGTATATAGTTAAAAAAAGAGAGCCACTCAAAGCTGGATTCAATATTGACCTTACTAAATTTCTGAATTTTAAGGCCCCTATTTTGTTTGTTGTGTGCAGGGCACGGGTGTTCGTGAGTTGCACATTGCCATGACATAGAGCATTGTCAACAAGAGGTCTCAGCGGGTATATTAACTGTGCCCTTTTTTCTTTATTATTGGTTACAAAGTTACAAAGCACTTCTCTTCAAAGTTTAAAGTGCTAAACATTTCAAACTTATTTTCTGTGTTTATTTTAGTTTCAATGACTGAAGTGAAATCCACTGAAAATAAAGCAACAAATTACCACTTGTGTCAGACTGTTTACGTAACACCATAATACAATACTCTTGAGAGCAACAAAGCACGTGCACAGAAATAAGCAGACTTAACCCCTGATCCGAGAACACAATGTGGAATTTATCAGCTTATGTATCCTACAGTGTTTACAATGAGAATTTCCCCAGAGTAATAATATTGCACTTTCAATCTGTGAAAACGTTTATTACAGTATATGGTTAAGAGCCGATCCAATAAACATCGCAAGCGTTTTAATATTGGTTATCCTTCCGAGATGTTTGAAAGTTAGTGGTATACCATACAGCATGCTTTATCGAGTGCCCTCATAGAGAATGAAACTAAAGACACTGCCCTTAATCCAGAATATTGAAAATTTAGAATCTTAATTCTGAATACTATTTTGCTAAAATAAAATGTATTTTACAAATAATTATAGTTTCTGCACGATAGCATCACTGTTTTTATTCACCTTACAAAAAGTACTCAGTTTTGAGACAAAATACATGTAAAACAAATGAGCTTATAAAACCTGAACAGTTGTAACAAAAACAAGAGTTTGATAATATTAGTTTTAGATGGAAACTTCTTGATAAATATACTAGCTATATATCAAATGTTTAAAATATCACTAAGGTACTGTAACACTTCATCACATATAATAGTTTAAAAAGCTACTTTAATACTTTATATAGCTTAAAAATTCAACTCCCGCAGGCAGAAAGAACACAGAATTTTAGTCTTCTCTGTTGTTGTGGCCAAGCAGGTTTGTGAGGTCTTGCTACTGTATCAATTAGGCCACATTGTAAGTGACTTGCATCAAATACACGAATGCTATTTCTGTATATCAAACCTTTTCCTAATGAAAATTCAGAACTGCAAATATGTCTATAACATATATTTTGCTATAATTAGAATCAACTTTGAAAATTTGAGCCCCTATCAAATTCATTCTGTGTCCATGACTGAATTAGAACTTTGATTAAGGCATGAATGATAACAGCCATAAAGTCAAACTAGAACAACACAGAGTAGGTTGGAATGAATGTTTGTGACCATGGACCTTCTTAACTTTTGATCATTAAGCTAACCCTTCTAAGCATTATTTATAACTTTAGTCTACATAATGCAAGTACAAAAGACAGCTTAATGACAATTTGTTTCACTGCATCAAACGTTGTTTTCTATAAGTGGCTATTTCAGATTTCAAATATATTTTTAGCTTGTTCAGATGTTTACAATGTAAGTGAACTTGAGTATTTTTTCATTACTTCAAAGGTAATATACATATATATGCAATCATTTCTCAAGAAAAAGTTATTTTTCTCACAATTTGTTTCTTTTTTTGCCTGTATTATACTTTTTAGCATTACAAACCATTACGTACTATTAAGTCCAAACAAATGAACAGGAATAGAAGCTTAGTAGTACAGACCATTTAGTATTGTCATAAAGTGTGATCTATATAGATGTAAAGGCTAAAAAACAAACATTTCCATGGAAAATTGAATTTTATCTTGAGAAATAAGTGCACGTACATGAATGATGTGATATGCTTAAACTAATGAGATAAACTTTCAGATAACTATAAATATCAACTCCACATAGATAAGAAGAAGAACACACTTTCTTTTTCCCCAGCTCTAGGTGGCTTCACACAACGATGGCTCACTAAAAACTTGTAGCCTCAAACACATTCAGTGTTACTACGGCCCCAGTCCTCAAATATGGTGCCACAAACCTTGGGTCCACAGATCTTCTACGATGCAGCACTGACTCATCTGCTTCTGCCTAACTTCTAAATCTGACACATCAACAGAGCAGAAATCCCCAAAAGACAGTTCCATGTTCCGTATCCATAAAGAAGGTCACCACTACATCTGATGCATGCCTTGATCAAACTGTATATTAGAAATTCCAAGCTTTTACTGATTGCCCACGAGAATGGTATAATTTTTCTCAAGGATGCAGTGAGTACTCACATAAAAATTGCTTACTATAAAGAAACCCTGAAAACATTTCAGTTTAAGTCTATTCCTCCAGTGCAAGTAGCACAGTCCAGCCAAATGGGGAGAAAAGTGTTAAAGTAAATGAGAAACTAGCCAACACAGTAGGCTGTTTCATGGTACAAATCTACAATGATGCTAAAAAACTTACCTCGTCTGCACATTCATTTTCAAGTCAAGCAGCAGTAACAGAGATTCCAAATGAATGATAATAGACTAAAGAATATTGGAGTCAGAGAACTTCAGTATCTTATTCAAAGAGCGATCAAGAATTCCTGGAATATATTACTGAGGGTGACAGGCAGCACATGACAGATGAGATGCTCAAAAAGACTGGTACTATCTCTCCACTATGATGGCAGAATTTACAGGACCCAAATCAACGAAGTCTATGTAATTAAGTTGGCGACAAAGACTGGCAAAGAAATTCAGTACTTCTTTGGTGCTGATGAGCCTGAAAAGCAGAGTGCAAAGTGTGTTTTGTGCAGAGTCGGCATACTTAAACACAATTTGGGAACAGGAATTTATGGAAATCTTCACCCAGATATACTCACTTGTCATAGGTGGAACAAATACGAATACTGGGTAGAATGGTAGTCTGTGGAACATGATTAGATGTATGCAAACACAACTCAGATGTTGAGCTGCTGCTTCTCCTGAAGATTTGGTGTTATGTGAGTAGGTCCAATCTGATTTGGTAGTCAGTGAGTGATACAATTTTGGAGGTTAGTCATATTTTCCAATAGCTGATTGGGATGTGCTCTTTCTTCCATATGTCAGGACTCCATTCCTATGAGTTACAGGTTATGGCTGCTCATTACAATCTCCAACTAATGAATTTACCAAGAGATTTTGAAGTGAGATGGATAAAATTTACTTCCAATCTCTTCATTGCCATTATGCCTTCCTAGCATAACTTGTTCTGTTCTTTCAGAACCCCAAAGAGAAGTCAGCTAGTGGATTTTTCACTTCCTCACAAACACTGACAATCTCAGATTGCTGGCATTTATGGCTAATACACTTGATGTCTTCTCCAGATATCAAAAGCAGCTCCAATCTGACTCGGTTGGTTGGTAGTTTGGTGCTTTATATCACAAAGCAGCAAGACTGTCTGCACCAAACAACCATTAAAATGCAAAAAGAAGTAAAGTACCATAAAATGTAAAACGAGAACAAGATAAAAGTGAAATAATGTCAAAAAATCAGGTAAAAAAAACCTAATGGACACAAAAAAAATAAAAACACAATCAAGTTGGACAGTGTCACCATCAACAATGACACTGTAAAAACATCAGGAGTAAACTATTAGAAAATACATGTCTAAAATGGTGCTGCCACTCACATTCATAATGATGGTACAAAAGTAAAAACATGGACAATTATGACCTGATTGTCACAAAGATCACTCATCATATAAAAAAATGATGAGTAAAAAAATGTGATTAATGCATAGCCTAAGCAAAACAACATCCTCCCTCTGATCTTTATGGAAACAAGATAGCCAAGGAATAACAGAAGATGTGATTTGGAAAAGGTTGTTATGAATTTGCTCCCCCCAAATCGAAACCCAACTTCCTTCCCTCAATCCTTATGGAAACTAGACGGCCAAACAACAACAATCATAGGTTTGATCTGAAAAGCTTGTTATGAAGTTGCTCACCCCAAATTGGCTGCTAACTGGCATGAAGCCGTACCTTGATCACAGGACCAAAGTCCACATATGGGACAGGTATGGCTGTGACAATACCAGAGCAGACAGACTTAGCCATGGTGTCAGAAAGCTCATTCCCACAAATACCAACATGGCCAGGTATCCAAAAAAAATTGAGTACAAACAGAATACACAGAGAAAAGTGGGCTAGTAGTTTTTGAATATGTGATCCAAGGAAAGTGAAATGGCATACAACTCACCCTAAGAGGGTTAGGAATATCAGGCCATACCTTACAGTTCAGATAACCTGAGTTAATAGTGGCAGGCAAACATGGAGATGTAAATGTCAATATAAGACATCAGTAGGCAGCATGCTTCCATCTTTATGAGTAGAGATACGTTGCACAACAGAAACTCCTTGGATGGAGAAACAAGAGTGGATCTCTGACTCACGGATGTTCCTTAAATCCCTCTCAACAATAACTCCTTGTGAAGAATTCAAAATAGCATGGGTGGTAACTGCAATAGGTATATCACCAATGGCCTTCGATTTCAAGAGGACTTTGCTGTGTTTTGGTGTAGATGTTTCCATCAAGATGTACCCACAACGTAGCTTCTTAACTGACTTTGGAGAGCCAGCAAGCCCCTCTAATCCCTTCTGAAAAAAAAAGGGGAGTCATTTGACCTAAAGGTTTGTCTGATGAAGAATGAAAAATCAAGGTACAGAAATAGATTGGGGTAGTGACTACTGATCAGTCTCTTATAAATGTGGTCACTTTCCTATAAAAGTGGTTTGTTATTGGTTTCTTTTGGGTCACTGGGTGCAGGATCCATAAAAATGGAGAAAATTCAGTTCCCACTGACCCCATCCACCATGGAGCCATACAAGGGGAAGCACTACAATGCCAAACAATGACATTGTGGCTATGCCAGGGTTTCGTGGGCACTATACCCAAACAACAGCATCAAACACAAGGTCCACAACACCCATTGAGAAATTCCAACACTGGTACTTAGTTGATGCTAGTCCAATAGATCCAGCCAATTTACCCTGGGGGAGCCACCCCAAAGCCACCCATCTACAGGAATTAAAGGCCAAAGTGATGTGTCAAAGTGCCACTGATATAAACTGACCCATCAAGTGGCACCCCTCAACCACCAGTATCCTCTGCTCCCTTCATGGGATGCCATGCACAGCAAACAAGTGGGTAGAAGTTCATATCCCAGAGGGGGTAAACTGAAGAGACAGGTACTGGAATCCACCTTGAATCCACCAATCTGACTCTGTAACCATCCTGAATGCGGGTAGAATGGCATCCCAAGTGAAGCTAAAACTTAGTTCATTGAAAGGGACATTGCTACTAAGAGGTTAAGTTGCTACACTGCAAGAACAAATGGAGCAAAGTGAATAAGATAGACAAGTGCACCTGAAGGATGTAAAGCTCCACATCATAGCTCAGCAGTGCAAAGAACACCACTAATTTGTTACAGATGGGCAGGACAGCTGTGTTCAAGAATGAAATAATTGATTTATTTGTAGAGTTTCTTAAACAGAGATTCTCTGATAATGATGAGCACCTGTTCATCAACAAGCTTTCTGTCATCTTGAATCTCGATGCCATGTATGCAGTTATTTGCTCTGATTTGGACATGGAAGAGTTTGGACTAAAGTATTGTGAGCTGATGTTAAAGAAATATGCAAGAAGCCTCTTTGAAATGTGGTGCATTTGCTTGCTGAATCTAAACACAATACAAAAGTCAACACTGCTTGCTCATGTTCTTGCAGTTAATCCACACATTTAGCACCTAATTAGTTTCAGCAACACCCTGACAGGTCAGCTATGCATTAAGAGTTTGATAATCTCTCCCTCTTTGTCCACTACAATATTCTACTTTGTAAATATTGTGCTGCTCTGTTTTGGCTCAAGAAGCACAGTTACAGAGTCACAGACAGACCAAAGGGAAAATAAAAGTGGTATTTTTATGATATTTTTCTTGAGGAAAGTGTCAAAAGAACTCAAGCAGACAGTGGAACCAATATCTCCAGAGACAAGATCAGCAGCAAGTGCAAGACAAAGCCCAAGAAATTTTGATTTAATACTGGTAATTGTGTTGAACATATAGCTATATGCCATTTAACATTCAAAGTTTAGGTCTAATGTTCAATAAAGAAATGCAGTATTAAATCAGTTTCTTTTTCTGTATATTATGCAATTTAAAACTTCATAAATATTTGGTTACAACTGAACAATAACTTTTAGAACTGCTCATTTGTGTAAAACTGTGCATTAGGAAAAGCCTTGTTATATATATTCATAAAAAGGTTGCCCAGAGGACACACCAAGTCATCTAAGTGGTGTTATTCAAAATTCTAAAGTTTGTGTTAGTTACTAAATACAAGTATGCAAAATTGCTAAAACAATATTAAGTGATTGCAGAAGAAAATATAGTAATAGTAAGTTCACATAGAGTTATACAAAGAACAAAAATAAAAATTTAGTTACACTTGTGATAAAACACTGCTTTATTTTTATTCAGTACCGGAAATATTCAACTTGAAAATTTTACTGCTAAACCATATATCTGGAGCATTAATAGAATGATGAGAACATGAAGAAATGTATTAATAAACACATGTAGTTTTAAGTACAAAAGAAATATTTTCAGATCCATTATAATCTTTGCAGAGTTGAATGTTATAAAAGAACTAACAAAACACAGAGTAATTTTCAATATATCATTCTTGTGCTTTTATTATCTTAATCACATATAATAGTGTTGTTGATTAGAATTTTAATGTTGTTGTTTCAAGACAAACATTAAAAAACACATTATTTAACCAAAAGTGCACAGGGTCAGGCCGTTTGACCAACCCTGTGCTGGAAAAGAAATGTTGACTATAATTCCAAATTTACTTTGTGTATCTACATGAAACAAGGCAAGCTTTTAGTAAAATATACAAGTCTGTTGTACACAAAAAATCAAATGTGTTACACACATATTTGTACTCAAGACATATCTGGAAATAGACTATGTCAGTCTGACTCAAACAAGTTGGAGTGTAAGGTAATGTTCATGTGAAGAATAAAAATACCTATATCCATCTGTCCAGTTGGCATATTGCATTTGCATAACCTATAAAACTCTGACATTGTATCTGATATTTACTCTCCTCTGCCACAAATTGTCACTTAATCAGTTATTTAGGGTAAAATGAATAGTTGATAAGTCTGACAACAAATACTTAATACCACACTGAATGGCACTTTGTAAAAGGTTGTGATGTGCACTTTGACCCCCAAAGGGTTAATATTCTTCAAATACTGACACTTTGTGTACATTCTTTTTATAGAACATACATATACCACATTTTTGTGGGAGAAAAAAAGTAATGAAGATTTATCATGGTTTAAGTTTGTAATAAGCATAAGATGAAACTGAAAGGAAGCTTACCTGCATAGCTAATGTGAATGGTGGAATGTAAGCTATTCCTATACCAAACCCTGGAATTAACCCATAAGTGATGACTACAGCTGCAAAACCACTGTTGATGGAGATAGATGTCAAAGCAATTGAACCGCTAAAACAACAGAAATATAACAAAAGTCATTACTAAATATCTTTTAATAACCCAAGTATTATATTTAGTGTTCTTGTATCTTTTCTTTGCCTTTCACATTCATATTAAGCAGGTGAAAAAGTAAGAACCTCATGAATAAATTAACTAGTTTTGTAAAAGCATTTTGAAAAACACAGATTTTCTAGGTTAAGGATAAAAGTTACACAAACAAATAAATAACTAAGCCTCCAAACAAAATCCTTAGATATAATTCAGTCAGATTTTCTAATTTAGTTTGTTTTTTATTTTTACTCAGGTCTAAGCACTACTAGAAGGGAAGAAGAAATTACCAAGAATGATATGATAAACACTCACAGACCTGTTATGAAGACCTTGACTATTTAAAGCTAATTATTTATACAAAACCCCAAGCATCACAAACTTAATCAAAATATTCATCAGAACATTTACAAGTAAATGTACATCTAAATCATTGTGTGATACTTCATAAATGGCTTAACCACTGAAAACGATTGGTGGATAAAACTGAAGAAAAAATCTTCCTATAAATTTTCTTGGATTTATCCAACCTACACAGTTCAGCCTGTTTCAGGTTCCCTTAAATCCTTCTGGTGTTAGAAGTCATACTTACAATTTGGTTTCTCCTCAACTATATATACACACATACATATATATATTGGTGTGCAAATCTTGTATCTCATTTTGAAGCTTGTATTTGTATTACTTGTCTTACAAAGCAAAATTACCCCTATGTTACTCAAAATTATCAATAAATATATTTCCCAGTCAAATTTCCAATACAATTTAAAGAATCTGTAGATATTTTATATCTAGACAGGGGAGCAAAGGGTTCAAAAAAAGGTTCCATGGAATTTTTTCAGTTACAAGCTTGAAACCTATATAAAAATGCTTTGAGTCAATCCTAGTTTCAGAAAATCCATGTTACATCCAACCTTTGAACCTATATCTGATATGACTTTGGTTACTATGGCAACCAACCATTACTATAAATCAAACAAAATTTATGACAACCTGTACCAACTAGTAATCTCACTAGTCAGTTATATTTAATATTTTTCTAATTTATAATTAATGTAATGAAGTCCAACATCATTTAAACAACACAGAGCTCTTTGACAAATTTTCATATTGAGTTAATAAACTTTATTACCTTACAAAATCGCAAACAAAATATTAATTGCATAAAAGTTTTTACAAATAATAATTTGTTTTAAATATTTAAAATACATACTCCATCTAGTAGTTTTTGATATTTCTTTATTTTATTTTTTTCAATAAATACCAGTATTGTTTGTCAAATCTTGTACATTCTTGCCAGAATTCTGAAAAATACTTTTTATTTTTCAACAATGAAAGACGTATTCATTTAGCTGATACCTGACGTAGGCCTGTAGCCAAAATTAATCGTTTTTTAATGGTGGTTTTTGGTTATGGTAACAAAATTTATTAGCTTCATATAAAAGGTTGTTTGAAAATTTGAGGAAGTAATATGTTTATTTTAATAAATGCAAATTCAGCAGTTTTAGTGGTCATATTTTCAGGTTGTTAAAGGTTTTGTGCTACTTGGTATGTATGATATATTTTCATAAGAAATAGTTTAGGATTAGCCATGTAATTTAATCATAAATTATTGTACCTAAATACAAGGTTTTCTCTGGCTTTTCATATTTTCAATCAATCTTGTATATAATTTACTAACATTTATTTAGTGTAATTCATGAAGAGAAATTTTTAAGATGCATAAATTTCCATTTCTACACAACACCCAAGAATTTTATCTGCAAATATGCACGTCAATTTTTCTGCCCATCTCAAAGAATAACTGTTTTTGCTAAGAGCATATCATCCCTTGAGAGTATTTTACACTTCTTGATTTTCAAGCATTTCCCTTGTCTTTTTCTGTTTAGTTTATGTACAGGCCTTGGTTGCTACCCCTTTTACGTTGTCATATCACGTGGTTTAACTATTTATCAATGAAACACAGCTTTGAAAACAGCTATAAAAAAGTTTAAATATAATTGGATAGAGCAAGAATTAGACTTTTCACATGGTTGTGGAGTAAATATAGTAAGTTGAGCAGTAGTTTATGGTTTGGTGGGAAAGTTTTTGCAGTGAGTATTAGTTGTGTTAAACTATACCTGTTTGAAAGCTACCAAAATTTTATAAGACATCAAGTGAGCTTGAGTTAGATTTAGTGAATAAAGTAGATGACAACAAAATATTCTGATTACTCAAATCCTTATTTATTGAATATTATGCTTATGGTGTTCAAACAATGTACATGAATAAACCAGATAATTGGCTACTTCATTATTTCTAATTGCAATCAGTAGATGTTTTAAATATAACATTATTACACTTATTAGTGAAAGTAAAACATGTTTTTATTATCTGATTAACAACTTACTTGATATAAACAAGTCAATGGGAGATTATAAAAACAAACAAAATGGCAACCACGAGGTTGGCTCAACACTAGCTTTAGAAATATTTGTGCTGAAAGTTTTTGCCATTTTGTAGCCACTTAATGTGAGAATAAATCAATAATAGGTTAGTTTAATGTAATCAACTAATGAGTCTGACGATTAACAGACTAGAAAATTTCATTTGTAATTCTTTAGCACAACTGTTAGATCTTTAATTTTCTATATTTAACTTTGTCATGTGATATACATCAAAAAACAACAACTGGAACAAGTTTGCAAGAAACTTTATCTGTCTCTTGAATTTATGAAGCCAATGTATGATGTGATTTTAAAATGTAACATAGGCACGTGCCCTTATTGTTTTTTCTGTTTATTTAATTTTACATATTTGTCTGCGTGATTCAGTTGTGGATTATGGTTTTTACTGTCATTATGTGTTTTTAATTGATAGAAAACATCTCTCTATACATGTGTTTATTTCATCCATAAGACTACTGTAAGTTTATTTATCTACATACATATATTAATATGTTTTCCAAACCCTAACCTAATAGAGTTCTGGTTACCTAGATTTCAATACCCATGGTGGGCGGAGCACAGATAGTCCATTGTGTAGCTTTGTGCTTAATTACAAACGAACAAACAAATTACAATCATTAAATAGATAGAAAATAAAACCATTCAGGATTAATATTACCTTACTTGGAAATGAATTGGTGCCAGACATAAAAGTTAAAATTCTGGTAATCACAGTGACCATAAACACTAACAGTCTGAACACATGTCATCCACAAGAAATTTGCTGACGTCTTTACTGCTTTTCCTTTACAAAGAAAACAAAACCCATGTAGCAGTACACCTGCTTTACTAACCTAGTAAATATCATGTTTCCTTGATTTCTAGTAACATTAATTCATGTTAAATATATCATATACCCGAGCAATGGTCTATAACCAATACAACAAATATTGAAATAGTAACAAATTGATAAAAAGAGAGCATAACCTCAGTTTCTCGCAAGAGAAGTTGGGTGATTTGGCGTAAGAGCAAAAATGCCAATATGCATAAGCATGACTCCCACACTACACACTTTGAATTATGCAGTGCATGTGAAGAAAGAAACAATAAGACCTATCAGCAACAGCAAACTGAACAAATGTTTTGTGTAATAAACTGGTTGCCAACACATTGTTAATGGAAAAAGCAAGAATATGAAGAAACAAATGAATTGACTAATTTTTATAATTATTGTAAAACAAGGATTTACATTACTAAAACCTATAAAAGGTACTTTATGATTTTGGCAAAATTGGTGGAAGACAGTGCTACTGAAGAGTAACTGTCACATTGGTGGGCTCGTCTTGATATATACATAATTAAACTACACATGATATTTACATTACTAAAACCTATAAAAGGTACTTTATGATTTTGGCAAAATTGGTGGAAGACAGTGCTACCGAAGAGTAACTGTCACATTGGTGGGCTCGTCTTGATATATACATAATTAAACTACACATGATATTTTTGTCACAGAAGTTCTATTTTCTTAATTTAAAGACTATCTATGCACGAACCTAAGGAATACATACAAATGTAATTCACTATATATATATATAGTGTGTGTGTGTGTGTCTCAAATTTGGACGTTTTGGTAATGCAAATTTCATATAACATTCAAAATCTTACATTATTAAAAATTGTGTCTGACGTTTATCAAATTAAGTAATACATGCCCCTATCTATTTTGCACAGTGTTTCTTTACCTTGTACTTTTTGTATACATCACTTTTGCTAGACTTTCACGTTTCTTACATTTAGCTTCGAACTGTAATATTTTTCTATGAGAGCATAAAATGTTTGGTTGATTTATTATTTAGGCAGGTATATTTTGCATATGTGAATTGATGTAGTTATATATACAAATTTATAACTACTTATCTATAGGCCTCACCGACCGGGTAGGGTTGATCTATAACCATAGGCGGTCTTACCTATTGGGCAAACTGAGCAATTGCCCCGGTCCCACACATGGAAGGACCCCCGACGCTATGCCTTTTAATCTACTTCTGTGAATGTAGTACGTGTTATGTTAAAATAAACTTTTTGTTGATATGCCGTTCTTATTCTGAGCGCTTCATACACAGCATTCATACTTTACCTTACTTTATTTTATACAATGAGGGGTTAGAAAAAATTATATTTATGGCAATTTGAAAGCAATGTTGAGCTTGGAAAAGCATACGTACGCTGAACAAGTGACTCGTTCCTCTCGTGACTCGCTTATTTAACTCCTCAAGCCACTCGCACATATTCGAGTCGGCCCAGAGTTTTCTTTTCGTTATGAAAACCCACTTACTGAATTCTGTCCGGTGCTCTAGAATGACCAAGACCGCCCCTGTCTATAAGTTACACCATTATAAACCTAAAACGCTACAAGTAATAATTAAATCAAATCAAAGTGTTAGGTTTACATAAAGATGCTGATACAGATCGGTATAAAACTTGTTTTATTTTCACAGATTCGCACTTTTGTAAGAAATGTTTTCATTC